GTAAACATTTCGCACAAACACTAATTAAGTATAGATCAAAAGGAACTTTGCCGTGAAATTAGCAAGACTAAGCCTTGTTGATGAAATTGTCTGATGGCTGGAACTTAAATTTTTAAGTTAAAAACTGCTTTCTGGCCTTAAAAGTCTTACGACTACAAATAGAGTGCAAGCACATATCTCCATTGTGTTACGGATTTTGAAATAAAACAATTGACATTCTGTGTAGCTTTTGAGAATAAACTAGAAGATAGTTAGCTTTCTTATTATGAAAAGACACTGAACTATAGCCTTATGTCTTTAGAAAACAATATTAATTTCCAAGATATGTTTTGCGTTAGGAAAATGTGAAATTTTAATGACAGGTTTTAATGATGGTGTAGGGGTAAAACCCAATATTAAAAAAATCAATGTCAATTAAAACACTGGCATTGCACATTACAGAATTCATTGCATATAACTAACATTTTTCCTGAAATGAGGAAAATTAATAAACAAATAAACAATATATTTTTTCTAGTTGAGTCTATTATATGCACTCAGTATACTTTACATAGCCAGCATTTACACATATGTAAAAAACAAAAATACAGAAAGACAATATGATACCTTGTCGTTTATTAATATCCATTTTCCTTTTGAAGAACTGCATTTCCTAGCCTTTAGTTTTACCAATGAATTTCTTTTGGTGAACTACCTTCTGGCTTTCAGAAGTAACATGATCATAACACACATCTGTAAAGATAAGTAGAACGTATAAAGTAGTAATGCGCCACTAGTGATGAGATTTCTGAGTAAGTTAGGATAACTTCGCTGGAATACACTTTTGATAGCTAGTCTGCCACTTTCTTGTGACATGACATTTTTCCACTGTTCAAACGCTAAGACATATAATACATATTTACAAAATATTTCTGTAACAATTCAAATATATAACAGCCACAAGCAAAAAGGTTTAGAATTCAATTTGGCAAATGATTGTTAAGGTAAGCAGCACAGAAAAGACCGAGTAAATCTGCTTATAAATATTCATCTGACTCAATTGCACACAACAACTTATAAAATATTATGAAAAAGGCATTAATACAATAGCGGATGTAGACACAGACATTTTAATAGAAACATAAGGACTTGAAAGTGTAGATGGCACCAGTGAAACATTGTGTGCAGCCACATTACTATACGACACAGTGTGAGCGTAATGAATGTTTGCACAGAATGTGCACAAAACTCCACTGTTCTTGCATAATACACAACAGGAAAAGTTAACCCCTTGATGACGGGAATTTCTTTCCGAAAACCGACTCCAAGAATTCCAGCCTCACTTGGCCACGAAGGCCACCTGCCAAAACGCAAATTCTCTGTTTGTGGCCCTGCATGCTCTGCACGCTTTGAATTACACGGTGAAAAGGCTGATTGTTCGGTGACATGCGGGCTCTACTCACGCTTCCACATTCCCGTTGCCTCTTTTCAAAGTGGGGACTATTGTGAAGCTGGTGATTATGATGCATAGAGCTGACAGCAGAACGCGACTGCCTGCCTGTTGATTGATGCACAAACACAGCACAGCAGGGCAGGATTCTGATCTATTTCAGATTGTGAACAATGCTACATTTAAAGCAGTGGGTGTAATATGTATTACATGTGAATACCTGGCCATCTTCGGTGAGTTCGTGATAAGATTTTATTCATGGCCTCTGTCAATTGGAGGATGTCCACATTTTGCTTGTTGTTTTCAGGCATTTGTAATTTTGAAAAGAACATCTTGGTAACTAAACATTTAAATTCTCGGTAGAATTTCTTAGTTACCACCCAATTTACAGTGTTTCTGAACATCCTCTGACCCATTCTACCAAGCAGGGGATCCCCTTTTGAATGTTGATCATAATAATTGGCCTTTGATGCTGAACAGGAAAATGGAAGTCTAACGTTTACTTTTCATCCGCGCAAGTTACGTATTCTATGAGCTGCCTTGAAAACTGGACCCCACCTCTAAAAAAAATAAGTGCATTCTGGATTGTTCAGCAACTGTTGGCGTCCCCACCTTTTAGCTTCCTGGCAGCTTTCTATGAATATTGCTCATCAGCAAGAACTACAGTAGGGTGAGTTATTCTTTCAAGCCACCAGCAAGGTTAACTTGTTAACAAGAAG